GGTTTCGTAACTCTTGGGTATACATATATCGATATATCGATACTCTTCCCAAGACACGCATTCGCACAAGTAGTCGCTGCCGATTGCAAAGTTTAAACGTGGGTTACAACAACAAATCGAACGGTTCGACGTGATGTACGCGCATCCTTTTAATATACTGGAATCCAATTTATCGGAATGCAACGCGCATTGGAAATCGCGATTGCGCGATCGAAATGCCAAATGGCACACGGAGGCGTAGATGTACTTTTACCAGTATTAATACCGAGTGAGCCTATCGAAAACTTATTGATTTCAACACTTTTATTTCGGCATCTTTGGCGTAATGAATCTACAGAGCATGTACATATACATATATGTACGTATTGTATATACATTTACGTAGGTATAGCTTTCTTTACGGAAGAGATTACATTACACGCGTTTCAAAAAATTGAGGATAATTAGAGTTAATATAATGGAGCAATATTCTTTATTACCATTAATGATACGATTGGTATCTGTCATTTCCTAGGGAATTCATTAGATAAGAAGCATACGTAATTGTCAACGACTTCGTAACGATTGTCATCGAAAAATATTTCCACGTCAAATATCTCTCCCCACGTCACACAATTGCTCTAATCAAGTTAATCGACTATAATTTTTTTGTTTACTCTTCTTTCATTACACGCGTATTTGGCATGTAATTTTTAAAATATATACATGTATACAGACGAGATAAAATGCTTTTATAGGCGCTTGACGATGCGATGCGTGGCTCGTGCGTAGTTTAAGTACCTGATGTAAAAGTGGGCCAGGAACTTCACGTTTCTCTCTCTCTCTCTCTCTGGCACTTTGAAGTTCCTCGAATCGTTGAAACGATTAACTCGATATATACGATGCTAGTAAAACGGGCTTTATCGGGGAACGTCTGTTAACCGCGGGAACACGCGCTCGGTCGGAATGGCCTTGGATATTATTTTTACATCACTTTCTGACATGTGCGGATCGCTCAAAGCTGTATCATCGCGATGATGTGCAAAGATAATAAACCACTTAACAGGATTATAGCACGTTAAAAATGAATTTTTTTTTATATATAAATTTTTTTATATAATTTACATACGAGTTTTGAGAGTTTTAATCTCGAGTGTTAAACGACCTTTAAATTCCAAATGCGGTATCGCGTAATGAAATCTTTTAACAAAATTACAAGCATCGGTATCGAGGTAAATAGTAGCATTAATTATTTACAAACGTTTTCATAATCAATTTATTATTATTAATTAATAATAATAATATAAATTATATTTAGTAATAATTATAGAAATTATTGTGTGAAATTCTGTAATGACAGCCGCATTAATTTAAAACCGCATTTAAACGACGGTCTCGCTTTTGATGTGAAAGCATCGGCGAAATATATATCTAAATATGTTTCACATTTATATGGAGCACGCAAGCGCGCACGGCCCGCAAAAGTTTCGCAAGCTTCACCGGCTAGAAACTCTTATTTAAACACGAGTGGGAGCCGGCTTATTTTAGCATTTCGCAATTCCGGACGAAGATGAATTTATTCAATCGCTGAAACACGCGATACGTTCGAGCAATGACGCAGGATGTTGATCAGTCGGACGAACGCGCGGTTTTCGCGGAAATGTCAGTCGATAATAAAAGAAAAATATCGAGCTCACGAAACGACTTTTGTTCGCGTTATAAATAAGCAACTTTTGCGATTCGAAACGACTTTTTTTCTCTATTAAGTTTATGATGAATCAACGTGTGATTTATGACTCTGAGAATATAAATTCACGTGTAACGTAAGAGATATATCGCAAACAATAAATTCAAACAACGTTTCACATATTCCAAGCTTCTCTAGTTAAACGAAACTGTCTCTCTCTGTCTCTCGTTCCGCGAGACTAAATTACGACTTCAACTTCATTTATCTTCAATGCACAATTCAGCGACAAGCGCGGCTGACGCGAACGCGCCGTAATGTTGATCTCTCTTTGATTTTGTTGTTGCATGCTCGTGTGTGCGACAGGAGAGCCGTCGTTGTCGGTTAACAATTGCACAAGCGAACCTGGTAAAATCACGTTTGCCATAGCGAAGACGCGTACAATGCCGGAATAACCGAGATTGACTTTATTATCATTGCATCTTTTCCCATGTTTCTCGACTGCGAGAAGCCGATAGTTGACGATTCGTAATCAATTTTACGTGAAAGGAAGAGATCGCGCGATAAAATGTAAAACAAAAAATTGATGGCAGGTAAAGTTGGACTTTGCTTTACGATCATGTTGACAGTGTATCTTTGGATCCTGTTTTACAATCGTAAAAATTCATACGTATTTTTGCGCGTGCATTTATTATCGAATATGTTGTACGTGTGTGTATGAGAACGAGCGAGAGAAAAATAATTTTTAAAATTTAAATGGATACATATTTTTTGTTATTGATTAATTTAATTTTCTATCAAATATCGAATTACAATATTATTTTTCTCAAAATTCTTTAACCTGCTTATTTTTCTTGATTAATATCGAATAAATATTACTACTACAAATATTTTTCAAGAATATTTTCTCCCTTGAAAATATATTATGCGTTGTTTTTAACATCACAATAGATGATGTAACTTGGAGTTGCAAAGAAATCGAGAGACTTGTATTTTTGCATTTTTTTCTCGATATACCGGTATATGAATCCCGCGAACGAACAAACGTGGGAACAAAAGCGTCGCTGTAGAATCCTGTCGCGAACTTGGTAAGGAAGCAGAAAACGCGAGAAGAGAGCGGAAAAGAAGATGAATGAAACGAGGGGGGGTAGGTCTGGGATAAAGAATCCAAGTTCTTTGCCGCTATATCGCTGCATCCCGGAGAGACTGTCGGCGCGACCAGATGTGAAGGCGCATTGCTTTATTGCTCTATACGTACTATAAAATATATTACTTACGGTTTTACAACCGCGTTATTGCGTCGTGAACATCGACGTTCACCGATCTTATTGCCTGTAGTGGTACCTCGGGGCACGTTCACGAAACGATCGACGACCTCTCTAAAACTTGACGTAATACTCATCTGTCTTCGGTTTTCCCGCTTTCTGCCGAAACGCCCAGTTGGTTATCTTACGAGCCACGTGTGAATTTGAGGAAGTTTGTTGTGCAGTTCTCTGATCCCTTCCGGTCTTAAAGTATACTCAAAAAGAGAAAGAAGAGAGAGAGAGAGAGGGAGGGAAAGGGAAAGAAAAAAATTAGTCGGAAAAACGAGACAACATAAAAGATAGACAATAACGATAAGTATTCTGGTTGGTCTCTCTGAGTTGACGGCGCAAATTTTACGGGAATTTCAGATTTATGTGGGCATTCTTTGCAAAAGAATTTCAGGATTGTGATATTTTGCAGGACAAAAGCATATATCTTATTGTGAATTCTCTCTTGGCAACTTATATATTATTTAATTTTTTAAATATAATATTTTCAAAATTCTCTGTTCTCTAAAAATAACTCTGTCGTGATCAATTATAATATTTGAAGATTTCTCAAAGAAATCTTACGTACATAAAACATACTGCGCTTCAAATTGATTTAATAAAAAAAATTTCAATATATTTATAGAATGATTTCTTTTGATTAATGTAGAGTTTGGTGGAATTAGGTTCGCAGACATTTTTGTCTGTGCTGCGATGCACATTTTAAATATGAAAGGCAAACTGGCGATTGTGCGTAAACGAAAGGCGACGCACGCAATCGTAATGGCAGTTTTAAATTGAAAGCGGCACCCTGTCGCGTCCCTCGTACAAGTCCGTGCAAGACTATCGTGGATTTTTTCTCCGTTCGTTGACGACCAGCAAAGGCAAAGAGCAAAGGGTATATCACCCTTCGTCAGCTCGCGTGCCGTGCTTCCATTATACATACACAGAAAGTCGCGAGGGTGCGAAAGGCGCGGGGGTGACTTGAAGGAGGGCAACAATGCCAACATGCACTGACGCGCGTATATGCGTCGTGTGTTACACGTTTTTTTTCTCACTCCCGTGCACACGTATATACGTACACACATATATGCACGCGCGCACACGCATATATTACCCGACACACAAGCGACCTTCCCTCTCGTGCACATAGGGGTGTATCCCTCCTGTGTGACCGGTCGTATTTTATATCATGATCGAAAAGCGCATGTTTGATATTTTCGTGTTTTGATGTATGAGGAATGTTATGACACGAGAGATATATCGAGATAAAACGCATTGATTTTTCTTTTTGTGCACGAGAATATTCCGTGGGTTTGTATAATTTATGTGTAGTAATGAGAAACTTATATAAAGTTTTTTTTAAGGCTTTAAATATATAATTTTTTATAATGAGATTTACACGAGATTTCGAAATACGTTACTGACCTCACATGAGGGTAAACTTTTTTGTATGCGGAAAGTTTTTCTCAGCGTGGGCGTGCGTGAAAAGCGAGCCGAGTGTGAGCGATCGTGCGTCGTATCTCTCGTGCGACTGTTTACCTGGCGAATCAGAAGGGGAGAAAGTGGAAAGGGCGAGAGAGGTGAATAAACCGGCAAAAGCACGGCTTCTGCTTTGGCCAGCGCGCTCACCCATTGTGTCCCGTCGAACGTGCTTTTCAAAATGTCTCTGGTGCATGTCTGCCAGACAAACGATCCCGTGGGAAAAAGCGCACCGACTAGGAAAGAGACAGATATCACGAGCCAGACGTGTCCCGTTTTTTTCCGTTTCTCCCGTCTAAAGATGTAATGTTTGCTTAATCCTCTTTATTCAAATCGTATCGCCTTCAGACGGCAAAGAAACAAACGGATATTTTCCACTAAAAATAATTTGACGGAACGGTGTAATTAATTAATAATTCACAATTCATCGATATACGCGGAATAAGTATATTTATATAATTGATCTTAATCTGCTAGATTTTCGGTATTTTTATTTTTAAAAACAAAAATTATAAACGCATGAACTTTTTCCCAAACTAATTCTCTTTCTCCATTTGTTACAGGTAAGTCAAAGATAATATCTAGCAAGAAGAGATCCAAATCGAGCATGAGTTTTCGTTAGCAGCTTCAAAGTAAGTCATCTTTATCTTAAATCTGACTGCGACTTTCAACTGTGAATACAAATTTGTTTGAATATTCATGAGTCGCGTTCGTCTGTCGATGAACAATTGTTCCTTTTATCGGGCTTTCGTCTCGTTATCTCGCGATGTATTCCTCTTGGAGAGCGCGTCGACGCGTCCAATAACAATAAAAGCCGTTCCAATTGACACATATTACGCGTCTGTGAGTGCAGGTACACACACACATATACATATACCGGAAGATCGAGCGTGTGGTCACGCTTGGTTCTACGCAATCTCATTGTGCCCGCAGCGTGATTAGCGAAACCGGGTCACTTGCAGCGCTGCGCGATGTAATCGTTTCGCGTGTATGGACCATTTTTCGAATTACCCACATCCTATATTCCGTCAATGTTTATTTATCGTCATATATATGTCCATTTATCGTCCAAATTTACACGCATTTGCGTGTATCAAAACTTTACATTTCACAATTGGTCTAAAACAAATCTCAAACGGTTCATTCTTTGGTACATCAGATATCTTTTAGCTCGAAACGCAAGAACTAAGAATTGAAAGATCTTTAAATTAGCTTAATGCAGAGTTTAAATGTCTTATTTCCCTCCTATTGTTAATTTTTGCAACTTTGTTGCGCTGCATCATACGTGAATTCTACCGTTAAGAACGACTCTCTATTCAGCGGTTGAGATATTTTTTTCCCACGTTTATGACCCATACTCATTTTATAGTACGCCTAGTAATACAATGCAGTGACCTTTCCCGGAATGAAGATTTTACTTTATATCGACCGCGGTGCAGCCTGCACAGACTCGAGCTTCCTCTAGTCTCTTTACCTTGTTTCGTTCTTTTGTATGCAAATCATTCGACACCTACCTACCTACCTACCTACCTATCTACGTGGCGCTTCGTGTCTTATCTCTATTCTCACGAAAGATTCCCCCGGGGAATAAGATTGCGTGCAACATCATTCCTGATTCGCCTGTTTCGCCTTCGCCCTTCCATCCTTGCCAAATTCCTCCGAGAAACGTCCATTCCATTCCTTCCCTCTTCTCTTCTCTCTCAGAACGGCTCGATGTATTTTTGACGCGCACCCTCAACCGATAACGTTCCATACTTCTCCTCCTCGAGCGTCTTCAGAGGGTGGTGAAATATATGACGGGATTCTTTGCGAGTCGAGATAAATGTTTGGAAAAATTATGACGCACGAGATGAGAGTCGTATTTCTTTAGTTTAGCGCGAAGGAAGGCTTTTTGAATGATGCATTGATTATTTAGCGCTCAGACAAATTAAATTTCGCGTATTAAAATTGATAATGAGATACGCGAGTACTAATAGTCAGCGTTTATTCGTCAGTTATTAATTGGATCTGATTTGGACCACGATTGAATCAAAGTTACATTTGTGGACAAAGTTAAGTAATGCCGTGGACATTTATATAGAATTTTGCTGAAATTTAATTTACGTTTAATTTATGTTTCGCATTATGCAGGTAAATTAACGTAGAATGACCATTAGTTGCTAATTAATATTATCGCGTTATACTAGTTGCAATGTTTCTGGCATTATGCTATTAATATATCATCACATATTTAACAATTATCCGGATTGATAATTACAACAGATTCGACACTGTAGCGATGTAATTAAAGAACGTGCTTATATAAGCGTAGTAATTGTCATTTCTGTTGATTTTTAGAACATTATGACGATTTATTGCTTTTGTGAAATATGATTTCACAATTCCCGGAGAAATTATATTGCCCGGGTTCAATAATAATGATAATTGATGTTTGCTTTATCATAAATGCGTGGTTAATATAAATTTACATTAGTCGTATTATTTTTTAAATATATTTATAGATATATTTTATTTTTTTAATATATATTTTTATTTTTTAATTTTATTAATTTTTAACTCTTCGAGATAAATATACGATATTTATACCATTATAGAAACGTTCTTATGCGAATAATGCGAGATATGCAACGCGCGTCACATTTTGTGCAATCGCGAAGAAGCGCTTTTCGCGAAATCTCAAGGAGGATAAAAGGAAAATAGGGGGAGGGATGAGAAAGGCTAAGGGTTCGGGGACGGTAAGCATCTTAGGAGCAGTGAAAGAAACAGTTGCGTCGCGGTAATTGCTGGAGCCTTTAATTAACAGAGCACAATGGTGGAAACGTAGCTCGTTGGCACCCTCATTGTCTTCATGTTAGATCTCTGTTTTACGTAGACTCCGCGGGTATATAATATATAATATATAATATATAAGAGAATAGATGGCGTTTATCTGTGTCTCTCTTTCTTTCTCTCGACAGTATCGATCGATTATTTAACGCAATTATTCTTCGTTTCTCCGACGAGCTTTCATCTTCTTTTCGCTACGGTTCTCCGATGCTTCTATTGTTTCTTCTCGGTCGTATCGATTCGAGATACACTGGTTCGACTGGTTTTCGTCTGTTCTTGGGATGAAAAGCAAGTCGAGCACCGAGGCGCTCTCGATATATAGGAAGGATAATCGATTTTTTTTATACCTATAGAATTTATGGTCGACCGCGTCAGGCGATTAGCAAGATAAGTCGAGTCGCGCCCGTCGCGTTTCATTTTGCTATTGTAAGAGCAAAGTTTTCTTACGTTTTGCAAAGAATAAAACCGTCGATGAAAGCGAGAGAAGCATGTTATCTCTCTCTCTTTCTCTGTGTGTGTGTCGGCATTCTTTTGTGTGTTGCCGCGTGTCAGTAAGTCATATTACTTGACATCGGGTCGATAACCCGTTGAATAACTCACCTAATCTTTATTACGTGTAATGCCTCGTGCGATCACATAATGCACTTTCCAACTCGTACAGACGCGATTATAAAAACAGGCGTTTGTAAAATAAATGCGGTATATTTTAACGTGAATATCTTTCTCTTCCCAAGCATCTAATATGTCACGATTTTAAATATAATTATCATTTCATATCATATTATCTCACGTAACATTATATAAATGCAGGCATGCAATATGATTTTAGACATGAAGTTTGCGTACATTTAATTAGCTAAATAATTAAATTATGATTAAATTAAAATTACAATCCGAAGTAAACAATTCTAGAATTATATTTTCAAAATTATACGATATAGTGTTTAAAATATATGTCGCGCGAGTGTTTCTCTTTTGAACGCGATTAAATACTCTGCGAAATGAGCGCGTTGCTTGAAACAGGAGTAATTACGTTGAAAGTGAACTTGGAATCTTTAGTGAAGAGACGAAACGGATTCGGCTGTAAGATTTCTGCGTTATTCAGTGTAATGTGGGAGCATTTTAAAGTTTCTGGCGAGAGAGAGAGAGAGAGAGGAGACTGCGCTGTGGTATTCCCTCGCGATCCTCCGGGATAAGGGAAACCTGCAAATGGTTGTTGCTGGAATCGAGGACACTCAGCCGCAGATTCTCTCTCGACGAGGGGATGGTGGTAATAGTATTAGGGTTAGTAGCGTATCTCGAGTGGTTTTTGGCCTCCGTACGATGTCTGGAGAAGATGGCGAGGGCAAATGCCAAGAAGAAGAAGAAGCAGCAGCAGCAGTCTTGACGCTAGCTAGAGGTGAAAAGGTAAAATCAACAATGAAATTGGATGGCCCCGGGAGATGAATCCGCTTCAACGAAGACGCTTTTATTTGTTCGAATTGCTGGAAAATTTATTTTCAATTTATATCGATTTGAATTTATTTCACATAGCGCGGAGAAAAAATCTTGATTAAATATGTTAATATTTGGATTAAAAACCCATCATTTTTTTCTTGTTGATTTGCCTTTCCTTCTTATATATTAACCAAGTAGTAAATCTTAACTTTATTTCGTAGTTACGTGTTATTTAAAAATAAGAAATAAAATAACTTTATTAAAGAGATTATTAGGTATAATAATTATATTTAAATGTGAGAAAAAAATAAGATTAGAAGAATACGGCGTTTAATACGTGTTATATCGCGAAGATTATGCATATAGGGTTAAATCACGGCGTGAAATCCCAGTTGAAGCTTTCGAAATTTACCAGGGAAAAATGTTGGGATAGAGATCTCTCTCAGGTCGACGCTATTGAATCTCGATCGGTTTGAAGCGGCGCCTAGGCGTGGAAAATGACGTTGGCGCATCTCATTAGCCTCGTTCGCAAATTGCGGACTCGACTTCCGTCTCGTAAATCATGTTTCAATATTATTTTATATATTTTTTTTAATGGGATGGAACTTGTCGGGGTTGGATATTGTCGAGTCGCTCGCGTAATTACGTCGGGCTCGATGGAAATATCGCGATGAAAATCTCGTCCGACCTTAATTGATTGAGAATTAATTTCGCGTTGAGGAAGAGCCCGTGAAAGATGGTTCATTAAAAATGGTAATATTTATACCCTCAATTACCCTTCCGTCCCCATCCCCCTGAAAGTCGCGGGCGAGCCGGGCTTTTTCTTCGTAAATTCAATTTTATCGTGAGTAAGTGGCTTGTTCCGACAACGAAAGGCGGCTCGTCTCGTTGTATATCGACCGTAGAACGGGTAGCTTCCCGAGTAGTATTTCAGGATATAATGACGACGGTTTTTAATTGAATGGCCAATAATGAAACGGTCGGCATTTATCGGTTATTCCATTATTAATCCATAAAGAAAAACGCATTATTCAATATTCACATTCGCATCATAAACGAGAGAATAAACGCTAATGTTTCGTTGCATCGATGCTCTTCTTTCGCATACGTAGACATAATTCACTTTATAATTTCATCGTTTGCAGCTCTTAGATTATGATAGTACCTGTAAAGTGTACGGCGGAGATGTAAATCTTCATCTTAAATTCAATGCCGGAGCTTGCGCGAGGGATTTAAATCTCGTTTAAATTTAAAAGACGGCTCCTCGAGAGCTTCGCGCATCGTTTAAGCGACGCCGATGAAAATAGGACGATAACGATCTACGTTTTCAATTATGAAATAATACTCGAGAGCTGCTGCTTTTTCTTTC